GATATCCTTCTCTTTCAGTTTCTCAATTTATCCTACCGCTTCCCTAGCCATCACGCCTTCTTCCCCTCTTTCTCAAGCAGCTCACGTTCTCTACATCTTTCTCCATCACTCGTTCTCTTTCCTGCTTGCTCTCTCTCACCCTCTCCATTCCCCTCGATATTCTCCCCAGCTTTTCCTGACTCCCTCACTTCCTCTTCTTTCGGTAATGTATCATGTCATATTTCTTCGTAGTAAACTGTCTACATGCAATACAAGCTATATGCGTTTTTATTACCTTTTACTCGCCAGGTGGCTGTGTACGATTCGAGATCGAATGGCAACGACCGTGATCGGTAAGTACTAATATCCATTCCTCTGTAATGGCCGGAAAATGCATTATTCAACATTAAAATCCTCTTTCCCGAAAATGCGTATTACGTAATGGAAACTGAGAGACTGTCACCGCAGCATTATTGATTAAATCTAAATTACCGTCATCATTCCGCAATTACAACAGCTAATAATGTCTGAGCGTAAATTGCATGGCTTGTTCTACAGAGAGAACAATAGGAACGGGTACGCGACATCCACGACAAAGGATCCTTTTGGGTTTGATGACGACCCCTTCTTCGCTGATGACGACAAGTCTTCTTCGCGGGACAATAGATACGGTAAGCGGGAGCATCGCGGGGTATAATAGCTACTGCAAGCATTTACTCAAATTAAAAAGAAACACCTGTATGTACGTGTGTTGTACCCACCTGCGCCTGTCGCGTAAAAAGCAATCACCAAACCGTGGCGCGACGAAACGACAAAATTAAGTATACGTCTGTCGTCGTCAGCTTATACGGTGAGTAGCATATTGATATGAGCAGCATGAGATGTGAAAGCACTCGCGCAAATTTCTTTCACAGTGCTTCTTAAACCATTTCTCAGTCTTCATCACAAAATTTCATTCGCACGCGACTAAATCTCCTCATGTTTTTGGTCTAGTTTCCTTCACCGCAAAATAATTTAATTCACCCTTGAGTGAACCATTCACCAGTTTTAGAAGCACTGGTCTATTGCACGCTCAAAATCCCATTCTCTATCACACAACACATAGAGGTATTCATCTCTCACATTTATACGCCCTCCCCACGTCTTCCTTTCAGGATTCGGAAATCAGGACGACAGAAAGTCATCGTCAGGCTATGCTGCGCCTAGTTTTCGGCCGGGATTGCGAGAACGCAGGATACGCAACTTCGCGAAAACGGGACGACGAGAGCCGACGGCGGCCGGCTATGGCCGTACGAAACCGGAAAGCCGAAAGCTTACGGGACGATTCCCCAGACTTGCGCGGAGGGCCTTCGTCGCTGCCCGAAGCCGCTGAACGCTAGGAAGGAACCGCGGGCTAGCGGGAGGGACGACGAACGACGTGCCCCGTCGGGACGGGGAAGGAAGTCGCGAGAAGGAGGTTCGGTTAGCGAAGAAGGCGCGAAACCGACGGTGTATCGTGTAGCTGGAGACGATGTCGTCTCGATTTAGGTTCAGTATCCGATCGTCGCAGGCGAGATCGCCGGAGGATACGGTGTAGCGCTCGCTTCGGCGGAGAACGCTCGCCGTCCGGATACGGTTCTGCCGAGGGCCGCGAGACGCCGCACGAGATGCGGGATGCCAGGCTTTAGAAATCCGATTCGCGGACCGGATCCTTTCTTTAAGGAGAACGAAGCGGATACGAAAAACGCTACGGCCAGGTCGCCGCGATGGGCGACTCAAAGCGCCGATTCATCGGCCGGAGCCGAGAAGACGAATTCGCGGCGACGATACGTGCCGCCGAAGGATCGGTCTCGATCGGGAAACCCGTAGGATCGATTCGGTCGGCGAATTCGGGACCGGGTTCGCCCGGATTCCGGCCGACGTACGTGCCGCCGGAGGATCGATCTCGATCGGAACCCGAGGATCGATTCGGTCCGAGTTCGGGACCGGGTTCGCGCGAATTCCGTCCGGATACGCGCGACTCGTTCGGTGCGCCGCGAACGACTTCTTACGCGCCACCGACAAGATCTACTATCAACCCGTACGCCAAGCACGGCTACGCAGCCGACAAGACCCCTAACTCAGGCCCCGGCAGCAGAGGTACAAGCTTAGGCTACGGACGCTATCTTGCTAACTTTTAAACGTCTAACGTCGGGGTTGAACGCATATTGATGCAGCTGCCAAACATACCTTAACCGCATATGATTAAGGAAACACGAGTGTTAGTACTAGTTATACTCAAATATATAAGGGGTAACTTACATGGCCTTATTTTAAAGTGTCCTGATAGGCAAGCACTGGATAATTTGAAACATATTTATATGGTTGTCTAATCCCGCACATTGCTTATAGATAAATGCATGTCTATATATTATAGGATTTCACCACAGGCGTTAAAACTGCGTTAATAATACATGAGACAAATATACGGTAAAGAAAAGAAACTGTAAAAAAACACAAGTGGCAATATATGAACCGTAAACATATCAGACGGCAATCGATTGCGTGAACAGAAATACATCGCAACACAAACAATGTGTCATTATATAATCAGCAAATAATTCATCGCCAAAATGCATTTTTGAAACGACCTTTTACATCGATACTTCACGCTACTAATTCTACTTCATCTAATCGTAATATTCATCTATCACTTATTGAATAAACACATACGCATTTCATATCGGGTTGTTATACCACCCTCCTCCCACACACCCGCGCACGCACGCACGCACGCACGAACGCACACGCACGCACATACACGAACATCGGGCACGACAGGAAAGACAATAAATTGCTTACACGGTTCCTATAATATACTCTCGGTGGAAATCATTCCGTAGAAATGTTTATACACGCATCGCGTGCGCCAGCAGGAGCAAAGCATGAAACGCATTAACACGCGAAGGAAACCGCGATGGTGGAAACGCACGTTATCTTTTTTCACGATTACGTTATTTTATAATGATAGCTTGCATGCGTGTACATTGCCTGTAGGTTGTAACGATTTCACCGAGTCTTGCCGCACCTAATCAGATATTCTCATTTTCATCTAGTGGAGTTATAATAATCAGCGAGGTTAATCTTAATTAATATACTCGTGTGTATGCACGGAAAAATTGTGTCGAAAAGATTCATCCTGGTCATAATTGGAAGAAATTATTAATTAGCTGCTTGAAAATCGATATATCTTTCTTATATAAATTTTTGTAATATGAACGCAAACATAATTTCAGGAGTGAATAATAATATTATTCTATTATGATTCACTCCTGATAATATATGACAATGCAAAACGAAAGGAAACAGCCAGTAGCGAAATTTTAAATCCGCGTATGTTCCGCGTATTTTTATTATAACTCCAGAATGTTTTTTCAATTTGTTATTTGTTAAGTTTTATAATAAATTTGATAGCAAATATGAGACCGGAAAACTCACGTTGTGCTTATATATACAATTTATATGCATCGATTTAAAGACTGTATGATTCACACCCAGTATAACGAAATGGTTTCATGCAAACACAACCCCACAGCACCGGGATATAAAATACATTAAACAAGCGTCAAACCCAATGACATCATTACGGAAGATGCAGCGGAATTGTTCGTTAACCGGCCTTTATAAATAGCAGTTTCCATAAAACCAAACAGCAGTAGGTGGTAAGCGACAGCGGTTGTACCACTGATAATGGGGTAGGAGAGATAAATGCTTGGTGTGCGGGGCTTAAAAGCGAGTTTCACAAACCAAAAAAGAGACACAACACACGTGGCATGACCGACAGCAAGTGCCGATGCTGAGCCATAAAACCTACTGCAGGTGTAGAGAAAAACATTTTAGGCAACGACACTGAATTTGGAAGCCAATATAGTTCAAATTATACAATCCGAGTATTTGTGAGCAGAAATTAATCATTCGCCAATATGTAAATTCGAGCCACGTATATATATTTATCGGCATTTGCGAAGGTAAGCGAACACGCACGCCGCTAGCTCTTGGTGTAAAGAACAGACAGAAGAGGGTTCTAAGTTCACTCACTAGGAACACGCGATGGACCACATCAATCACGTTGTCCGGTGTCGCGTGGTTCGACTTATATAACAGTCGACATCGGTGAGGGCTGATTGTCGACCGTTTTACGTCATTATTTGTCTTTGATAACGCAGCCGTATTGGGCGAGGCAAGTTTGGGAAGATTGTATCCTGTGACCTGTGCAGCTGACACGCAATCCCCAAAGGTCGAACGATCGGATGAGTAATAGCAAGCATTCACCGGTTATAGAACTCTTGCAGAGAGTGAGGGGAGAGAGCCAAGGGCAGAGAAGGTGGATAGACGGAAGAGGATGAGAGAGAGAAAAGAGTAAGTGAGCTAGAGAAGGGGGGAAGCAAGAGAAAGATTAGAGAATAGAGAGAAGAGAGAAAGAGAGAAAGAAGACGAAAGAGAGAGTCAAACAGAGCAAGTGTACATTGTATCCCTTCCAAAGCGTGGACATGCATGAAAAATTATAGTAAATTTTTTGCGGTCGTCATGCTGTGTGATTCGCAGAGACACAAGATATTCAAAAAAAAACTAAAAATGAGAAAAAAAGAAAAAATAGAAGAAGAAACAAAAAAGAATAAAAAAGACTTGTATGCGTTGGTTACTCGACGGACTGCTTCGCTTCCTGCGAGTGCCTATGGAGCTTCATGAATACGATCTCCACAATCCGCAACAGGATGCCAATCACAATCTCACATGAACGCTGTTTGACCATATGGAGGAAGATATTTACGCGGTGAGGCAGGGTAGGTGTTTAACATGTTTCACCGAGACGCACAAGAACACAGAAATGGATTTCTTGTTTCACTAATAATATGGTACTATGATTGAAAAAATACTTTTCCAACCAACGAGTGATTAGCCTAATGACCATGTGATCGGTCCCAACCTTGAAACTGGTCAAATAATTAATGAGTGAAGACTGTTAGCAAGGAATTACAAACATAAGACACGTGGTAGCAGAACTGGTAAAACCTCAGATGGTAGGAATTGATGACTGGAAGCGATTTACACTGGGTTCAAATGACACCAGTAAATTCGAATTATATACAACATCGAGCACAGATATGCATGTAGCAACTATGACTAAGTAAATCATCGAGCTAAACTGAGTAGCATTTGATGGCATCAAAGTGGTAAAGAAAATAAAGCTAGATATGAACCTACTTAGTGAAAAAGTATAAAAAAAAAAAAAAAACCAGAAATATTAGAATAAAAAAAAGAATAAAAAGAAGAAAAACATAAAAAAAACAAAAAAAAATAAAAAACGAAAAGAAAAAACAAAAACAAAAAAAAATAAAAAAAAAAAGACGATTATAAAAAACAAAAAAAAGAAAAATATAAAACACAAAAGATAAAAAACAACTGCAAAACTAAAAAAAAAAAAAGAAAAAATAGCAAGAAAAAAAAAACGAACAAAAAAAAAAAATAAGAAAAACAACAAATAATGCAGAAACAAGAAAAGAGAAGAAAAGCAAAAAAAAAAAAAAAAAAAAAGAAGAAAAGAAAAAAAAAAAAAAAAAAAAAAAAATAACCGCAAAAAAAAAAGAACAAAAAAATAAGAAAAAAAAAAAAAAAGAACAGAAAAACGCCCTGGTGCCCGCCCAGTTACAGAATACACGACAAGGAACCGTGCCTGTGGCCGGAGCGGAGATATTTACCGGTTATTATCCAGCGCCGTCCCAAATATTTCTGCCTGCTCGTATGTACGAGAACGCGTTTCCCGTATAGACTCAGCTGCGCACGTATAGCATTGTTAGCAAACATCGATGGCTCGACTGTCGACAAGATGGTAACATACTAGACGTAGTTGGATTGCATCACCGACTGTTTAGTCCATGTGGACCGTTGTATAATATACGCTTTGAAGATGCCATGACTATTCATGTGTGAGAGAAGATGAGAGGAACAGGAGTGTAGCGGGGAGAGAGAAGAGACCCAGAGGAGAGAGAGAGAGAGAGAAGATAGGGAGGAAGAAAGAAGCACAGTGGAAGAAGAGGAGGGATGTGAAAAGAACGAGAGAGATGGGTCAGGGGGAGATAAAAGCAGAGTGGGAGATGGGAGGGATGGAAAGAGAGGAGAGAAGAAAGCGCGAGAAAGAGGTAATTTTATTTTGTACCGGCATATACTGTGTTTGACCTTTTATACACCTATGGTGAAACGGAATCGTGCTAAAATATATGAGGGAAAACTGAAAAAAAAGTAAGTATTTATTAGCTCATCTGACATAGTCAGATGCAGCTTGTAGAATCGCATGATCGTCC